GGGAGGGGCCGCGCCTTGCTCAGAAACCTCCTCAAAGTACAGGCTGACAAAGCTGCGCCGTCCCTCACCCCCGCCCCCTCAGTGCGGCGAGTCCTCCAAACAGCGAGCACTGTCGGGGAGCCCGAGGCCTGAGCAGGCCTGGTCAGCGGCACGGACCCAGCATGACAGGCTGCACTGCCAAGCATGGGGGTGGGAACAGAAAGGCGCCCGGCCTCGTTCCTGGAGGCCAGGTGGGCTGTCTGGATGAGGCGACCCCTGGCTTGAGTCTAGAGGCAAGATGTCTTGTCGCGTCTTGCCCTTCCAGGGGTCACTGCTTCCCCAGGACGCTTAGACTTTCCCCCGCACAGTCCTCTCCCCTTTTGAAAGGAGCTCTGTTTGCTTTCCCAGGCTTCCTGGAAAAGGAGCAGCTAGGGTGACTAGGGTAGCAGCTGTCCCACAAGGAGGGGACGAAGGACCCGAGGGGAGTGGAATTGTGGGCAGCCCCTCACTTGGGCCGCTTGCTGGCCTCCTTTCCACTCTCAACCATGTAGTCCAGGGACATCCTTGAAGAGCCTTTGTGGGGGCCGTGGCTTGGCCAGGGGGCTGCCTGCCACCCTCTGGCTCTCCTGGACACTTTGTGTCTGGCTGCATCAGGGCAACCGTGTTTGCTTTTCCAGACTCCAAGGAGGTCCCTAATTTAGCCATTCTTGACAACCCTGTGTCCCCTCTTAGCCAAGTTCTGGTAAGGGCTCTGTCCTCAGGAGCCTAGCAGGCTGTGGGGATGAGACGTGCCCATAAGTCGCTAACACCCGCAGGGAGAACTGCTGCTTGAGAGGCACAAACCTAGGGTAGTCCAAAGAAGGTGGGCAGCCTTTGGGGTGGAACAGGGATGCCTCTCTGGGAGATGGGGTGCTGCTGTCTGTTGAGCTTGCAGAGAAATGTGAGTGGTGTCTGTAGCAGTGGTGTGTATATGTGTGTGAGAGGGGGGTGTCCCTACCCACAGAGCATCGGCCATTAGGCACTCAATGCTGTGAGGTGAAGCAGGTTTCTGGGGCCCACAAGGACAGAGAGGAAGGGCCAGCAGGAGAGTTTGTCTCTGGATGGTCTCTCAAACGCCCTTAGGCCAGAGGCTCCCTAGGACTTGAACCTCACTGGGTGACTTGGAGAGTGGGGCAACCATCCCCTATCACTGACTGCCTGGAGGTTAGGTACACAGCATGGCTGGGTGGTCAGAGACTCTTCATCTGGACTCCAAGAGCTATAGTGAATGTAGATGGTACAGAGCATTGCTGGGTGGGAGAGGGGACCTCAAGAGTCTGTGGAACTCCCTACCCAAGGCATCCCCTAGTGGATTACTGAAACTCCTCCTTAGACATTGCTTCCTTCTCAAGTTCCACACCCCTAGGTACTGCTAAACCCCCACCCTGAAAGCCTTTCATTGTCTTCTTGTTTACTTCCACTTGAGGGAGTATATCACCCCCTTCCAGGAGTGGTCCTCCTGAATATGACTTTCTTAGCCCTTCATCATCTGGGCAGTATAGTCCATCTGTGAAGGCTTCTCTCACATGGTTGAAGATGGAGGTGGAGTGGAAATGACTCTTCTAGAATCTGGTACATGAACTTTCCCATTTCATTGTACAGTTTCTGGGGCAGTTCCTGGGCCCATGCCAGTCATCCCCCACAGTAGGTTCTTGATGACATCTGTACTTCAGAGGATATTAGAGGCCCACTTCTGATGGGCCTGGGCTGGGCTATATTCCTGGAGACTAACCATTCTTAGGGGCCACACTGTGAGCTCACTCCTGAGTACCCTGCATCCAACCCATCCAGGAAGCCCTCAGAACTTTCTTTTTACTCTTAATGGCTTTGTTCCGAGGGGGCTTGCTATGTTGCTTAATTTCTGTCATGCTGGGGCACTAAGTCGAAGGCAGTTACAGGGCCTGGGAGCCCTCTCCAAGGTGGAGATGGTGGTAGCTGGGTCATGCATCACCTCTGCCCTAGTGGCCTTCACTTGTTCACTGCACATCCCACCAGGCATCTGTGCTGCTGGGTATAACCAGACTGCTCATTTCATGCATTCTTTATCCATTCAACAAATACGTATTGAGTACTTTCCATATGCCACAACCTATGCCTGCCCCGGGCTGGAATCGAGAGATCCGTGGGGGCTGGGTGTCTGTCTATCTTATTTATTTATGTTTCCCCAGCACCCAACAGAGAACCTGGCCATACAGAAGGTATTCAAAAACATTTGCCACTAACAATATTATCACTACTATGGGAATTGTTATCTCAGCTCACCCCTTAACCACAGCCCAGAGAAAGGCAGGGAGGGTGGGA